TTTTATTGTCCCATTTGAAAAACATGTAGTTCCCTTCCCTGCCTTTTATCAGCACAAATATTTTCTGTAAATGCCTAGATGACAAATCACCCAGGTAACATTTTTCTTATCTGAATTTAATCTTCATTGTACTGGTCCAGGCAAACTGCCAAGTAAGGGCTAAAATGAGGGCTAAGGCAATCTAGCTGCAAACGTGTAATCACAATCAATACTATATGTGCAATTGCATCCCACCCAAATGAATCTGTTCTTGAATGACTGGCAGAGTTGCATTTTTTAATGATTTTTTTTTTTGGATCTGGTATCATTAAAAATGAGGCCTCTGCAATCATGTTGTTGGTCTGTTAGCCATCCTCCTTCCACCTCTGACCCTTGTAATCTTTTCCACCTCTTGGTCTGTTTCAAATGAATCTGATAAAGAAGGAGAGGCTTTGAGGTAATTAAGGCCCACGAAAATGGGAATTTGGGTTGGTGTCTACCCACCCAACATATATGCACATATGTACAACATATATGCACATATATACATCTATCTGTCTATCTACTCATTATAAATGAACATAGCTACTGATACATTATTTTAGGCTGGTCTCTGGCTTTGTTAATTGATGCAAAATGTAGCAACGTGCGTCAGTGTTTGTGTGTATCATTTTTATTCAAACTGTCTAACCAGCTCCTCTGCTGAGTTGTGTCTTAGGATAAAAGGTGCCTTCTTATGGCCGTGAATCCTGGTGTATGTGGGCATTCTCCATTTCCAATCTGTTAAGAGCTTCCCTACCCCTCAGAAGACTTAAAATATCCTTCCAAACTACTTAATTCCCTTTCCCTTCTTGATGAGGCTTAAAATATGGCTTTTCTTTGTTTCTCCTTTCTAAATTAAAGAACAGATTCACTTTCCTTGGTATCAGTACAAAGCATTATCTTTGCCAGGGGAGTCTGTACCCACTAATAGTTTATTTCTTCAGTGGCAGGACAATCATCTCCTGCAATTCTTGATTTTTTTCTTACTCAAATCTGTGATGTTTTAAGTCTTAAATCTAGTATCACTTTTTCCTGGAATTGATACTCTTAGATGCATGATCCATTTGCTTTCTGCAAACTATGTTATGTATGTCTGTTCTGTTAGTGGCTTGTAGTCTGGCATTTATAATCCATCTTTTTCTGAATGCATTATCTTGACTCTTGATGTTTGCAACAGAGCCTGCAGCTCCATGTAATGCTTTTTGTAGACTCCAGCTTGAACTCCATATGCTTGTCTGCCTCAGGTACTTTGTCTCTTTTATGAATGCGAATTTCTCTTTTCTTGTGTATTTTACCCTTTTCTTCTAGTGTTTTGGATTCTCTGCTGTCTCTACAGTGGAAGGCCACCATTCACGCTCTTTAGATTATTTTATTTATTTATTATGTTTTGCAAATTTTGATTTCTTTCTCAAAGGCTAATTTTTCAGTCATCCAGTCACCTATTTTTGAGTGACTGGCAGAGCTAGTCCTGTCTCATGGATTTTGCCAGATGATTGGTTCTTCAGCCTTAGAACTGTCAAAAACTGATCAGTGTTTTCACTTTTTTCAAGCTCCATCTATACTTTCTATTTTGTGGTGGAACACAGGACTTCTCAAACTCTCTGCAGTACAATTCACAGTTAACCTATTGTGCCTCAGGAAAGGCAAATCTGATAAAAGTAGTAAGTCCTTCAGAACCAACCATAATCAGAAACAGGGCCCTCCTCTGACTCTTTATTTCTTGGTGGCACCACTCTGCTGCAGATGCAGACCAAAGCAGTGGTTAAATCTTCAATCATACAGTTTTTTGGAGATGTTCGATGTCTTAACTGCTCAGTGCTTCCCCTCAGGGCGTTTGCTTGGTTTGCTCTACTCCAGCTCTGCTTTATCTGAAAATCTCCCAAAGCCAGTGAGGCCTGCATCAGCCAGTCGCCATGCTCTTACAGATCAGCACTGCCTAGCATGTGTGTGCACAGTGGGTCCCAATCGGATCTAGTGGAAGGCTTACAAAAGGCTGTCTAGGCTACCTAGCAGAGATGAATGCAAACATGCCTCGAGCCCATAATTAGTCAATGTAGTTATTTTCAGATGATAAATGGTTTCTAGGGGTCTATTTTCAAGGGAGGTAATTTGGAGAAGCCAGCTGTAAAACTACAAAAAATAAAAAAGATTCAAGAAGCAATGAGCTACCATTTTGGCTACGTTTTTGCAAATATTCATTCAAGGGCAAGAATATTGAAATTCTTTGCTCATCTTTCCATGTTTCTGTAATACAGAGTCCATCATACTGAGTCCTCTGGGATTCCCTCTATCTAATAATACTGTAGTTGCCTGTGATCTCTGTGCTGTGTCTGATGTAAGGAGTGAGGTACTTCAGCACAAAAGGAATATTACGCTCTTCATAGATTCTCAGTCTTTCTCCCTCTCCCACTCTAATATGAAATAAGTATTGCACGTACACTTTTCTGACTGTCATAAAATATCGTATGGAGCTCAGCTAAAGCAATGAGAGCTATGATAATTCCTCATGTGTTTATTAGAGCAGCAGCCAGACTGCTGATGGGAGCTGTAGCAATATCCAGTGGAGACAGCTGAGTTAGTCAATGTTGAATTGCTCAGGGGCTAAAGGGAGAGCAAACAACTATGCAATGTCTTTACAGTAAGAAAAACAGATTGTTCTTTTACAGTTGAAGGTTAGTAGCTCTCCTGGTTTTCTGCTTAGCACCAGATTAGCTGAAAGGCTGCACAAACAGCACATTCTTTCAGCTGAGTGTGGTTAATAGATGTGGGAATTATAATCCAGAACATCTCTGTGCTAAGCATCGTGCTGGTGTGCAACAGAAAGTCAGTAGGCTGCTGGGGGAGTTTAGAGTTTAAGTACACTAGATCCCATGTAGAAGTCACAATGAGGGAAACCCAGCTTGCCAAAAATATCTGCCATGTGACTTTGACTAGATTCCCCCTGCACAGGGGTGAAAGCTACACCAGTACCTGTCTTCCTCAGAGGAGCATCTGGGGGGGAGGGATTTTCTGGGGCCCATCTCAGGCAATAGAAAGGTTTGCTTGGACATGCCTTCACAACAGAATAAACTTAATCATTTACTCAGCGTTACTGTTATTGATCTTCCTATCCTGACACAAACCTATTGCCTGTGTGGTGCTCCACCGAGGCTTTGAGTTTAGGCAAATGCCAGAGTGACTTTTGCTGAGGTTGGTGTCCCAATGGCTTCCAGTGAGGTGGAGGTGGTGGCGGTGAAGTACTTATCTCTTGCAAGTCCTGCAGTACAATTGATAATTTCTGATATGACATTTGGCCAAAGGAAAAAAAAAAAGCTTTCCTTCCCACCTAACAAGGAAAGCTGTGCAGTAGAGATTGTTACTTTCTGTGAGTAGTGAGTTCTGCAGGCAATGGCAGTCAGTCGCTGAGTACAGACTGTCTCAACTGTTGAAAGCTACTGTATAGCCAGAAGTCAGGTTTTAAATATCAGCCATTGCTTGAGACCAATCTGGTTTACCTAGGTTAAAAGGAGGAGGGGAAAAAAAGACTTTGAAGAAGATGCAAGAAAGACCTATTAGAAGGACTGTAGAAAGAAAAATTGTCTTCTTAGAAGAGATGAGGAAAACTTGTTTCTTGTAGATTTTTGTCAAAAACGTGAGTAGAGAAGGGACAAAATTAACCTTGTAGGTAGTTTTGGGGAAGGACAAATGAAAATAAGAAGAGAAAAATGTACTCAAGCAGATGAACAAAGTTAAGCGAACAAATATGCACAGCAATAAATTAGCAGCGGAAATGAGAATAAGGTTTTTCGCCATGAAGGAAATGAGGTTCTGTATTGAGGTTCTAAAATGATTCCAAATCATTTCAGAAGAGATTAATAAGTTCATGGAAGGAACTGCACAGCCTCAGAAGAACTGGTGCTGGCATTAAAGTTACCATTAGGGATGAGACGCTTTCTGCATTCAATTTAGTGCTATCTACAAATGGAATTGAAAGAAGACTTAATCCCCATGTGTTTGCTGCACTGCCTTTATATATAATTAATTAATCCCATGCCTCAAAGCTTCTGCTAATCTCCTGCAAGGTCCAGGAGGAATTTTCCTTCTTCTGCCTAATTTGGCTTTTGTTTTGGTTTCACTTAATTTTTTTTTTTTTCTCTTCCTCCTCTGAAACAGCAGAGACTGGCCACAGCTAGACCAGAAATGGGAGGGTATTTGGTAGGGCAAGCTGACGTCCCAGGTTTTGCTGAGGAATCTCCAAAATGTTTGGTTGAGTTGTCTTGTCCATACACTTAAAAGATACACTTTTGAACATCACAGACAACGCAGGATTTTTTTCTACCAAGCCAGAATTTGTACACTCTAGGAGAGCTTTCTTCTGATGCAGCATGGGTGAGGCAGGGGCCACTTCCTAGGATTACCACTGTTAAGTTTCAGGTTTTCACATTTCTTATACATTCTTGAGATTTCCTGTTACTGAAGAAATTTCAAATCTTGTTTGCATTTTGACATCTCCTGATCTGTCTCAGGGTATCTCATCGGGTTTGTGGTTTTTATCTTTTGCTGCAATCTGTTGTTTTCTATAGGGTATGCTATGCCTTGTGCCATGCACAGAGACCTTTCCTGCCTCAGTTCCATTGCCTGGTGATTTCCTAAGGCTGCCCTTGGTGACCCAGGTGATCCCATGCTGTTTCATTCTGTTTGAAAGTAATCACTTTGAAGTGCTGGTCCTTCAGAGCTCTTTATGCCGGTATGGAGACCTGTATCTAAGAGCAATGTGCATACAGGGCTCATCTAGAGATCACTGACGTCACAGGATGGATATTCTTGTGACATTAAGGAGGAAAATGAAAATCAGGTTAGTTGCTGCAGAATAAGTATATTTCATACAACTTTTTAAAGGTATTTTTGCTTTCATTCAAAGAGATAAAGATTCTTGAAAAAAGTAGGGGATATGAATATCACTGAGTATCACTTTTCTTTCCTTTTTTATTTCTTTTCAGGCTCCATCTACGAAATGTTTGGAAATGAATGCTGCCTGTCAACAGGAGAAGTGATTAAAGTTATTGGGTTCAAAATTAATAAGCTCATAGCAAGTATCTATGAGAATAATGAAGAGAGCCGGTTTTCAGCCAAAGTGGAATTACCACTGAATTTTCCTGGTATAGTATTTTATGATACATGTTTTTGAAGAATTATAACCCTGCGTAATCACCTTTGTTCATTTTATTGATTTCCTGTCTCTACTGATATTTGTCTGAGGTTACAGCTCAGCTGTCATGGATACAATTTTACCAGATGGTACAAGACACAATCAATCAACTCATTTTTAAATTTCAGCTCTTACAGTTCTCTGTCTTGCCTGGATAGAAATTATTATTATTAAAATGTTAAGTAGTAATACTTTCGACACTTCAGGTCACACAATATAAGAGTCATTATGAAACCATCTTTTCAGTTACTTGAGATTTTGGCAAACTTTGAGCTGAACTTTTCTTTGTTGTGTACTCACACTATAATTTATTTACTGTTTGTATATTATTACCTTATTGTTCTGTGTGTAAAACATTTAAAGTACTTTGTTTTTATTTTAATTATTTATTTTAATACAAATGGCCAAAGTGGCTGGTCCATGCCTGGGAACAAGATTAGGGGAAAATGAATGTTTTTGCTGCTAAAAAAAGCTTAGGCAGCTCTGTAGAGAAGTCCCAAGATGGCCATGATTTGGAGCATGGACCTGAAATTTGGCCTCTGGTACTGACTTGATATTTAAGACATGTCTTCCTCTGTTCATACGGCCTTGTTAGGGAGACCTGGCCAAAAAATGCACTTGCAGCACCTCATACATGTCATGTTCATTTATTTTTCAATTCTACTTCCATCTCAATTCCTCTACTGCTAGGGCCCAGGCTGTGTTAAAAAGAAAAGTGACTGAAATGCAGAGGGGGAAGAACTGGACGGTGTATATACGTGTGTGGGAAGTGGGGGAAGTAAACTAGGTTAGAAAACTGGTAGGAGAAGATCTGACTTAGATCTGGGAACATGGCAGAAGGTTAAAGACTTGATATGCAAAGAGCTGGAACTGGAAATGGGGGCAGAGCTGGGAATCTGCATCACAGGGGTATTGCAGTCCCCCTAAAATACACATAAAGGGGATTTCCTATGCTGGGAGAGGTGACCAGAGCCCAGGCCCCCCTGGGTAAGGGGGCTGGGGAGGAGGCGCTGAGGGAGAAGGCCAGCAGGACTCAGAGATGATGCCTGCGGGACAGCTGCTCCAAGAGAGGTGATGGGATGCTCACAGATCAGGAATGCAGGGAAAGGGCATGCGCACATCAGCCCTTCAGCCCCTGAGAAAGTTTGCAGGGCTTCCCTGCAATTTGCCAGCTGCAGCTGTCATGAACCCTGCTGAGGTGGCATTGCTGCAGTGCCTTCCCCTGCTACAGGGGCTTATATGGAGGTCCTAAACTTGTGACACTTTGATTAGCCATGTGAACATCCAAGAGGATGCCAAATGAAGGGATTTCATGGTGAGAGGGATGTATTTTTTAACACAGTAAATTACATGCACACGCATGAAAGTGCGGAACAGTAACAATAATGCTAGAGAAGTATTCAGGTATTTGGAAGATGGCAGCTCTCAGAGTAAGGCTGTCTGTGCAAGGGAGATGGTCAAGGTCTATAGGAAACTGTGGAGAACTCATAGATCATTATTTTCCTGCAAAGCTGTGTCGCGTTTGCTACACGCTTCCACCTTCTGCAACAAATGATACAGGGACCTGAAAGATGACAGCTATTTTCACTGCCTCGCTCCGACTTAGTCCAAAACCACAGTCTAGCTAGTGCACTGAATGAGGCAGCAGTTATGTAGAAAAAAATAGGAGGTAAACATTTAATTAACACTATATTGTAATGCATGCACATTAGAGGTTATATTAATGCTGTACAGGGAAACATAATACAGATGTCTGCTAGTATTTGAATGCTTGACTTAGTAAGCTTATCGATGTTCTTCTAATGCACTGCTGTGAATATGAGGACATATGCACACATGCATATACATTGTTTAGATTATGCCAGTGTCCAAACTGTTACATGCATTTTTGCAGAGGAAGGCAAGACCTACCTCTTGAACCAAATAAAATGAAAAAACACACAGGAGTTTACTGTTTCATCTGAATTCCACAGGAAAATATCTTCTACTATGCCTTCATTTTCTATCTTCAAAATACAGATTTCTCCCTGAAGTAATCCTACGTATCATTTTCTGTTTCCCAGTGGATCCTCACTTTACTTTCATGTTTTTCTTATTCTGTAAATCAGAACCGTTTGTATGACCATTTGTTAAAAGACTTCTTTTTAGAATACATGCCATTTTCAAGGGCTGATAGGGCCTGGAAGTAGCAAACAAAGATATTTTAATTATTTGTGGCTATCTAGAGATATTAAAGTACTGCTATATTGTGAACTCTCAAGATACTTTGTATTTTGCTTGAATTCTAAGCTTTTTTGCTATTATTAAAATTTATTCTATCACTATAGGAGGTTATAGTCGAACTCTTGATTGGCAGGAGTTTGAACACTGGAATCCTAAAAAATCCAATGCAATTGAGTGATAAAAGTAATGCTACATTTATTAATGTTGAATCTCCTGATTTTTAGGACAGAATGACTTGTCATTTGAAGTGCTTCAGCCTGGTGATTCTGGATTTGTTGGCATTCAGCTGATTAGTTTTACAGCTTGGCAATCTGTTGCCCTATCAAGCACATATTTAAATTCAGTGTAAGCACTACAATTTGCATGCATACCTACAAACTCTCGCAACTGGTATTCTAGGAACCGGGGTATTCTTTTCCATGTTAACTTATTTCACCAGAAATATAAATTCAGGGTTCATTTTGATAAATTCTTCATTGCTATCCTCCTCATGATAGGTAGTTTGGAAGAGTAGCACTAAAAAGGGTTGTAACACTTCTGATTAGCCCAAAAGGGAGCACTGCTCTCTCTCTCTCTTGCTCTGTATATGCATCCTTATCCACTCAAGTTCTTTTTGTTAAGATGAAACTTTGTCATTGGTCTAATTTATTTCTTAGTTAAAGAATGAGTGTGCTTTACAAAGTTAAGTTGTCCCACGTTGGTTTTTTGACCTTTCTCCTTTTATAAAGCTGCCACTTTATTACGTTTATGTTCTGAATGAAACATCATATTAGATTGTTGCTGGCTTGCCCCTGTCTCTAGAACAAAACACAGAATGGAATTGGAGTCAATTTTTTTACAGTGTCACAGTAAAAATATCATTGAATCTCTCGAACTCTGGCACTGTATTTACATTGTGCTTAGAGTATTCTCTTGCCAATGCTGATGTAAAGAAACCTTTTATTTTAATGTTATTTTCAATTATTTCCTTTATTGTGAGTTATCATTTGCATCAAATGGGCCCATTTATCCTTTCACTATGTGCACACTGGCATAAGTAAGCAACAATTCTATTTAGGTTGCACTGGGGATAACATCTCTGTGAGAGAAGAACTGGGCTCATTGGCTTTAAACAAGCCTTTCTCTTTGTCTTTCTGAACATATATGCAATCTACAGAATTCCTTTTTTTCTGCTCTGGCAAATCAGATTCTAGATAAAGGCCTAATCTGGCCTTTGCATTAGAGAAATCACTGCAACCACAAGTTCACTATCTGTGTTATTTCATTTTAGCCTCATTCTAATTTGTTCTTTGTCATGCTTCAGAGGGCCGGGCAATTCTTTCTGTGCTCATACACTGGACCAAAAAAAAAAAAAAATCTACTGTTGTTTTAGACACTTCAGTGACTGAATCTAACAGCATTTTGAACCACAATTCACTATTAACAAGTTAGCAGAGATGGACAATTTACGCACCTGAACTGTGTGTTAGCACAAATGATTGTATTCTGTTTCTTAATATTCCTTATTCCGCAAAAATATTGCAGAACACTGCATTAATATCTTCTCAGATCTGTGACAATTGCTACTGCTCATTCCAACATGATCTCACAAACATATAGCTGAGCACTGCTATCAACCGTTGCGAGCCACAGCACAGGAGATCTGTTCATAGCCATGCAGCACACGAGTAGAAGAATAGGGTTTAGACACGAGAAGGCTCATCCTGCTATGAGTTAAATTGCTGTCAGTCTGAAGGAACCTGCTTTGAGTTAGCAGAGTGAACCCCCTGTAAAACAGTGACAGCAAAATCAATCCTTAGGGCTCCAAACCATGGATGATGTCTACTACATTGCTTTTAGGTGGTGGAGCTTACCAACTCAGGAGGGGCAGTATGGAGCTAGAGGGGATCTTGGCCTCCGAAGATCTGCCTGAGTTATTACCTTGAGCTACACATTAGCACAGCTGGTGCTAACTGGGAAGGCAATGAGGAGAAAAGCATCATCAGTCTGGGGAGACAAAAAACCAGCAGGAGGTGAAGGGATAAGAGCAGGGAGTCAGCCTTTGGGAGAGGATAGGGAGAGGAGGGTGCTGGAGCAGCCGGAGAGGAGGAGGGCAGTGGGCATGAGGGAAAAGAGGAATGGCAACCAAGTCAGCTCCCAAGAGGTTAAAGAACTGAACTCTTCCCTTTCTTCTGCTTTATTTTGGACAATAGAAACTGCTAGTCTAGGACAAAGGGTTTCTGCTTTATTTTCCTTGAAAGCTACTTCCTGCTCTGCTAGATGAGCCTGACTGCTCATTTGCTGTTTTTTTTTTTTTTTTCCTGGGGGGAAGAGAAGAAAAAGAGAAAATGAAAAGGACAGTCATTTCTTTCAGGACTCTAATTAAGACTGAAAATGAGAAGTCTATAAAACTGCAGGGAGGTACACTTTGTCACTCTGTAACTAGTATGAGAGCTGCATGCTAGTCTGTAAAAAGATGTTTCCTAGAAACATGCTTTGCCACAGGACTAAATGGATGATCATTGGCCCTTCTTTTCTCTCTCATACCAGTAGAAATAACATTTTTCAGTCTCTCACCCCTCATAAGTGTATTTGTATGTATCAATGCCTAAAGCATTTCCTGAAAGTTAGGAGGTGATTAGGTTTGGGACTAATTACCATATTATCACTAGACAGGTGCTCCACCTACTGAAATGCCACTAGGTGCAGAAGACTTGTGCAGTCTTACTATGGGTATAGACTCCTGTCATTATTACGTATGTATAGTTGTTCCTGTCTCTCTGTATATTTTTCCCCAGACTATTGGGGAGCGGTGTACTTTGGTTGTAGACCATATTATATTTAGAAATAAGATCTGTGTGAGCAATAATGCCAGCTCTCAATATACCTGCTGGACTTTTTGCCAGATTCACTCTTT